TACTTTGACCCCTAATTGAAGCACGGTGTGTTAGCTGAACACTTTTAAACTAATCAAAATAACCTCCTCTCTCCATGATGGTGGGCTTTGTTCATGTGGTATTGCAATAACAATGTGAATGATTTTACAGATTTTATTCCACGTCAGTGATTTATTACAAGTCCAGCGAGCTCTGACATGCACTGAAGTCAGCGGCTTACGGGTCAGAGCACAGGTTAGCCCCAAAGGCTGGTCACTGAAATGGCAAGTTTGCATGTGGTTGCATTAAATAAATAAAGTTGTTGCTCACATACAGCTGATAAATATAGAAACCTTGGAAAATAGGTTTTAAATAGTGGGCTGCAGTTATGAGATTCTCTTTGGTATTTTAAAAATGAATTTTTATATTAACACCTATTGCATAAACTTGTTATACAGATAAAATATACTCAAAAATACTTTAACCTGTAGGCAATGGGTTAGCTGGTGTGTCCCATAGATCTAAACATACAAATTGTTGCCAAAACTAAGTGGTGGTTCAGTCCATTGTTTTCCTGCTGCAGGACAACGGTCCTTGCAGGGCTATTCCTTCTCAGTGCAGATTCTTTCTCCTTCAGCCAGCCTGTGCAGTCGTGCAGTCAGGGCAGGCTTAATCCTGTGCTGCTTCCTAAAGATGCTGAATTCAGCTCCATGCCGAGGACCTGCAGAGCTGCAGCCCTCACCAATAGCTCAGCGTAGAGGTGTGTAGAGGAGACTTCTGCCCTAATGTATTTCTGCTTTTCAGCAGAAGACTGTTTTTTTTTTGTTTTTTTTTTTAAATTATTTTCTTCATCTGCTTGCTACATTTGAGAGCTAGTAATAATGCAGGTCGCTTCTGTTAGATTTAAAATTGGAATTATCAATGAAAAACACTTTGTCCAGTGTCTGCTTTTATATGAAGTTTTCATTTATTTGTAGGAAACCTGAAATCACCTAGGCTTGCATAAAAACTTGGTGAAGGGTTGTTTTCCCTGGAGCCAGAGATGTCTCGGACTTCCTCTGCAGTGTGATATTTTCAGACAGGGAGTGAGTAGCATTAAACAAGACTACAGAAGTGAAGGGATTGGAATCAGTCCTCTTTCAATTAACATATAGCTTCTAGGCATATTTAGTCGGGCAAATGTGGTCCGTTTCATGAAAAAAAGTCATGCTTCCCTACATATCAAATACTTGACGAGATTTTTAGATAAAAGAATACCTTTTTATGTAGTGCAGTTCTATAATACCACATGTGCAGGGAGTGCAGGACGTAGGGCACGTGTCTACAATCCATGTTTTTGAATACTACTGCATTTAAAATATGCTGTGGATTTTTTTTCCGCACTTATGGTAGACAGATCATATATAAAGTTAATATCAAGTTAATCTAGATGAGGGTTTTTTCAATTTTTTTTTCCTTAAGACTTTACATAGCAGGATTGAAAGCTCACATAGAGTATGTCCCACGGATAATGTTTTTGTGTTGCAACATTGGCTCTATAAATAAATGTGAAGCATTGCAGTAGCAAACATCACATTTATTTTTATGAAGCGCCTACAGCATGTCATTACAGATGGATTGATAGTCTTGATAACATTGAACTTTTGTCAGACCTAACCTGGCAGACTTGTTACATGTCAGAAATTTTCTGTCATTTTTCTTTCTATTCAAAAGGCAAATATATTTGCAACCTTGAATGACATTGAATATAGAAAGCAGACAGAAATTTATCATTTGACAGAATTGTTTTTGTTCTGTTTTTTTTTTTTTTCCCCTTTTTTATAGTGGCAAATCTGTAATTGGATTTTAAAATTCCAACTACTCTGTGTTTTAGGAATATAGAACAGCTGATTGCAGCTTATAAGAGCTACGTGAACTGTCTTTTTACAAATGTAAAACGCATTCTTTATTACTTCACATTCAGATCATTTATTTTTGTGCTTCTTGGACTGAGGCAACTTCTGACCTTTCTTACTGGGTTGTACAAAACAACTTGGCAGGGTACAGGCAATGGAGAAGGTCTTGTACAGGAGACAGTACAGCGAAGGATGCAGATGCTTAGAGAGCAAATTTTTATAGCGCTAAGGTTAAATAGTTTATACCTAGTGAGGGTATGCCTTCAAATGTGAGTGCTGTGTAATAGGGATAAAGCGGTATCACAAAGCTTATTTTGGTGTCTTAAACTATAATTGAATTCTGAGTTATGCTGATTAGCTTTAAATGAGGTTATTTGTTTTAAAGAGACGTGGATGAAAAGTCAGGTTTTCTGCATATAATAGAAAAAGCAGTGTATTTCTGGTGTAACAAGCAGCAAAGAAATGGATGAAAACCTTTCATCAAAGGATGAAAACAAGTATTAAGACAGGGACAAGGAAATCCTGGACAGAGCATTCAGATGACAGGGAGTTGGAAGAATATGAGGTTATCAGTCATATAGCACCAGTACTTTTTGGGAGGCAAAATTCATAGGTGGGCCACAGCATTTTATGCTGAACAAGAAAGAAGAAGATTTCTGATTGCTACTAGAAACACGCTGCAATCAAAAGGAAAAACATTCTGTACATTAGTATGCAATAGCACTATACACTTCCGAATGTATTATACCCTAGTGAAATCAAGAGGATAATTATTAGCTCCTCAGCTAGAAAGGTTTTCTTCCAATGTTTTGGTTCAAAATACAGACACTGGTGTTAATAAATTGGGTTGTATATCGTAGACCACATCACTTAGTCAATATTTTATGCTAGGAGGTCATGTAGCATTGTAGGTACCAAACACAGTGTAAAAAAATAAAGTAGTTCTTCCAATTATTTTGTTTAAAAGATAAAAAGAGCAAGAGATTTTATTAGTTTTCAATACTGTTAGTATAAATAGAAGTTGAAGCTGTGGAGCAGGGTTATTATGTGGCTCATTACTGTTTATTACCACAAGGCACATCAAGATGTCTGCTAGTTAGAGGGAGTAAATCATTTGGAACATGCCTGTTTTTTCGATCTTCTGCACAATGCTCAGTGCTAGCATGCCTTCTTCCAGCGCTTTGAGGAATATGTCTAAAATCTGTCGCTTGTCATATGTTCTCTCCGTCTCTTGCTGAAGAGAAGTGAACAGACGAATGTCTTATTTTGGTACGATTTGTTTTTGCATTTTGGAGCAGGGGGGAGTGTTTTTCTTCAGAGAAGTTTCTGTCTAAATTGTGTTCCCATTAAATCAGGAGAAGAGCCTTGACTTCACGCGAGTTAGGATTTGGTTTGTTGTGTAGCTCTGAGATAACTGAATTTTTTTTTATATAGCTTGCCAGTGTTTTTCAGTATCACCGAGGACAAAGAAAGGTTTGTTGTGTCGGTCATTACACTGAATTTAGAGCCATAGAGAAATGGGGTGGTTTTAGACTTTGTGCCTCTTCAGCTGCACCTTAGTAAATGTTGGTGTTTCATGATACACTTTTCTTTTAGCTTCTTAATTGTCTGAAACCTCCCCAAAAATTTCTTTTAACCTCTGGTTTTTAGGCAGGATCAGAAATGAGCTAATAAAGTTAAGCTCAAGCTCATCGAAGAACTAACAAACCTTGGTAAATCTTAGACTTTAACAGCTAAGGATTGCAGTTGAAAGGCTCTCATCTCTCTTGCATGAATGTGAAATTCTTTCTTTTTTTTATTTGTCTTTATAGCACTTTGTATTTCTTTTGACCAGAATCTAATTAGAAGTTTTTTAAAAATCCGCATTTCCCCATTAGAGATGCAGAGTGCTGCTAATAGGAAGTAGCTGCCTGTGATTTTTACAGTCGTGATGATGCTTATCTTCTGTTGCTTAATCCTCCTCCTCCTCCTGCTTTTCTTGCTCTCTAGCCTGAACGTAATGTGTGATGTCTACCAGTGCTGAAGGCCTTGGGATGAGAGATCTATCACCTGCGTCCTCAGGCCAGGCTTTGAGAACGTGGTTTGTCCCCTTAGCCCTGGCTTTCTCCTCATCAACATGCTGAGCAGGTCTGCTCTGTGACCAAGCCAGTTCAAGACATTTGTCAAAAACATTGGGAAAAATACACCCACAGCCTGTTATTCTTACGCAGGTTCGTTGCTGTCCCTGCTTTACCCCCACACTGATGAATTATGTGTCTGTGTGACATTAACACTTCAGAAGAGAGCAAAGCAAGCAAGAAAGCATTGCACAAGCATGTGTTCCAGAGTATATGCAATCAGTGCATCAAATACCTGCTGGTTTTGTTATATGTACTATCCCATTTGACAAATTTTCTAGTTTGGAAATACTTCCATACTATCTGTTGTCTCTGATCCTGTTCAGCAGAGCAGCATTACTGGCCTGATGATTTCTGTCACATTTCTTTGGAAATTCTTATGCAGGATATATAACTACACGGGTTAAAAAGAAAATGTCTTCGCTATTGATTTTTCTCTGCCATTGGCTAGTCTATTTACTTACTTATTTATGTGGTTCTTTAATGTTCTTCATTTATGTGTAAAGATCTAATTTTTCCTATTCAAAATCACGCAGGTAAGCACAAACTTGATCAGGTGAATACGTAAGGTGTGTAGGTATTAGTGCACACATATCCGAAGGAAAGGACCTTAATGGATTTACATCTTCCAGAGGTTTTTCATCTCTGCCATGACTTCTAGAAGCAACCTAATGCACAAATGAGCTGGTGGAAATGACAGTATAGAGATTGTTCCTGATCTTGTTGCACAGAAGTGGGAAGCTGGCGAGTGGGCTATAGCCAGCAGCTGGAGCTGGATGGACTCTGCAGCTTACCTTGCACAGAAGTGGGGGAGGAATAATCCCACCGTTGCACCTCTTGGTTGAGTGGGGGGGCACAGCAACATAGCTGGGAGTCATTGCGCCTGTGGTTGCCTTCAGGGTTCTTGCTTTACGTCTCAGTAACTTTCTCACTTTGTCACATCAAAATCGTACATGATTGTACTGAAATAACCAGGTAATGTGGTCAATGCCTGCTCTTTACTGACTGCTGTATACTTTCTTCTGACAGACGTAAATGAGTGCACCACTGAGAACGGTGGATGTCATGACCAGTGCTGTAATACCATTGGCAGCTACCACTGCAAATGTCCAGCTGGCCAGAAACTGGAGGAAGATGGAAAGTCATGTGGAGGTAATGTTTTGTACTGTGTCTCACTGCTATTAAGAAATCAGAGAAGACATTGGAAAGGAAAAGGAAATGTTAGCTTTTATCTGGAGCCAACTGAAGAGCGTATACTCAGAGTTGTCAAGAGTGTAGATTTTCTCATGTCTGGATTATAAAGATGTAAGAACACTTCAAAGGGTTGGGTTTTTGTTTTCTTTTTCTGAAAAAAAATGTTATCACTTAACTTGGATTGGCTGCGCCATGTTCTGATTATGGAATTTCCATCATCAATTTAAAAACCTGAAGAAAGTATATGTGTTTGATAATATTTCATCTGTCTCTAAAACAAAATGGTTTTTATCAAAAAAATACACATACATTTTTGCATTTCAATCACAATTCCACAGCTAGAGATTAACCGAATAAAAAATGATTTAAAACCATGTTACATAAACCCATTTGTCTTCTTCCTAAGGGAAATATAAGTCTAGTTAGTGCATTATTGGGTAAAATTTGTTCTTATGCAAAAGCTTGACTTCATGTAGAAGCTAAACATTGCATAAGCTTATGTTAGAACACATAATGAATTATGGTTAGACTTCTTAAAGATGCACTGGTAAACAGAGAGTGGGTGTAAACAAGCCCATCTGATCTGTTGACCTACAGCCACTATGTTTTTTGCATCATCAGATGCAAAAGGTAGAGGAGATCAGGTGTAAAGTAGCCAAGGTGTACTGTATTTCAGGCCGGAGCAGTTCCTTCTTCTTGAACTCTCCTCTAACACAAGTAATGAATGTTTGCTGCCATATGATCTTGTGTGCACTGGCTGTGTGCCTGGATTGCACCCTCGATTGCATTTCATTGCTGCAGTAAGTATATCATTGACGTTTTTTGATTGTCTCAAGATGAAAGGTGCTAGGTAGGTTTTCAGGAACTGTATTATCATCTTTTCACAAGAAACCATCTTCTCTGGCTTTTCCTGTTGCATAGCATCTCACAAATTCCTTTCTTCTGGGATTTCATTTTACCATTGTCCTTCAACTCCTTTCTTAAAGTTTGTACAAAGCAATGCATTTCTTAGCTGTGGTCATATTCTTTATCCTAACTTCATAATTTGTTTGGCTGCACTCCTTTTTTCACTAGAAGACTGTAGAATTATTTACCACAGAAAGCTATCATTTGATATCCAACTTGACAGTGTAAATAAGCCATAGATGGTTATTTTGTTTTGATTGAAGTTTTTCATTACGGTCCTCCATACTTTCATTTTGGCCTTTTGAGAGCTCAAGGCAGAAATACTATGCATGATTCACAGATTCCTGCTACTTCACCTCAAGTCTTCTCTTTCCTCTTGTGGGGACTAGTTGGCAATATGCCCCTGAGCCAGTGTATAAGTCTCTATGTTGATGACTACTCACTGTTTTCAGATCTGCGTAAATTTTTTTTAAAAACTCAAGTTTTTGAAAGCAGGGGTCCTACTGATTGTAATCCTAAGTTGCTAACATGCATGCAAGAGTCCCGTTTCCATTCAAATAGTTTTGTGTTAATAAGTTAGTTAAGTTAGTGTTCCTTCTGCACAAATCTGCTATTCTTAAAATATACTTTAAATTCTAGTATCTTGACATTCTTTAAAAACTCAAACAAAGCTTAAGATATTTGATTCTTGTACTGCATGCTATCTAACCAGGAATTATAGGAGACTATATTGCTAGCCGTTTTGAAGACGCTTATTGAAATCTTCAGACAAAAATGGAAATGTACAATAAACTGGAAACACTCAAGTCATAGAGTTTACATTACACCTGTACTTTTGTGGAGATGATAATGACAACGAGCATTTAGCTATACTGACTTGCGAGACGGCTTCTTCAGCCGAATTCTAGCCATCAGATGTTACAATATAAGTAACTTAGTGGATGATTACTATATATGGGAAAAGAGAGCTTCCAAACAAAACTGTGTGCGCTGCTGGAAGGTGCTGGCCTTTCGGGTCGTGACGCTGAATTGGTGTTTTATTGATGCCTCTGCATTGCTCAAAGGGGTCGTTTTGCAGATGAGAGTAAAACAGCTTCTCATTCAGGTTAGCCAGCGTTTTTGGAGGAATAAGGCTTATAGTTGTTCCGGGTAGTTACATTCTTTCTTTCTTTATAGCATCATTGTGCTTTATGTTACCCCCTTAGTCTAAACTTGAGTGTTAAATAGATGTGTACTATTGTTCTGCTGCCATTATCTGTCTTATGGTTGGTTTTATTTCACCGGTGACTGAAATGATCAATTGGTGTACAGGTTTTTTTATAAGCCAAGGTACAAATAAGGTGTATCGTTAGGAAAGTACCATGGAAGTAATACAGATTTTATTCGGTAAGTCATTATTAGTGCAAAGATTGATCTTGTTTTTCAGAAACAAAATAGAGCATCCTTCTGACAAAAAGGAAACATGTCAGGAAATAACTGTATTTAAAAAAAAAATAGTTTTAGCCATTTGTAGCTGTTTATGCTAAGGAAGGGAAAGTGGATGAAAATTCACTAATCCAACCAGATAATGAAGTGTAATGCTGATTTGATCAATAATAGCTGGGCTTATGTGAGCAATTTTAGGAGACCCAAAGGCCTAATTTCACAACTAGAGTGAGCTGAGGATGCTCAGCATCTCTATCTTCTAGGGTGTCAAAGGTGTCTGCAAGACACAAGGCTCCATGAATATGAACAAGACAACAGCATAAAATACGTGAGATAACCTTAAAATAAGCTATTGCTATCAGCACTGACTACAACTTCCCTTTCTTGGGTGGTTCTGTGGCTGATTCGAGCCACGTAGGGAAGGGGATGGAGTGGCACAGCCTGGGACATCCCACGCTGTGGGCTCCATACTCCTTCCAAGGCCTGTAAGAGTCTTTTCTAACTAACTGGGGGCTCTTATGGCAGGATATATCATTCAGAGTTATGTGGTATGTAAAGTCTTACTTCACTTCATTAAGGGATACTTACATCAAGAGGCAAGTTGCAGTAAGGTGAAGGCAGGTGCATCTATATAGAAATGCCAGCTAGAGTGGTGAATTAGCCTTTCAAAACTAATTATCTACATGTTGTACTGCAGATTCTTCTCTCCAGTGTTCGTGGACAGAACTTCAGTTTTCTTGTCTGACAGAGAAATATTTACTGGCAGATAGTTGCGTAGGCATTACAGATTTTGACATAAAACTCATGCTTACCTCTCGCTCTTCATGTGTCTGATGGAAATTAATGATGAGAAGGGATTTGGATTTAAATCACTGCACAAATAATACAACAAATTAATATTTGACATTTATTAGTATATGACTGTCGGCCTGATTCTGTGCCCTATGCATCTGTACCAGCATTGAGTAGTTCTGGGGCGGTCTGGTTAGTGTCCGTGGGTGGATTTGCTCAGAAAGCTGTATCTTTGTCTGAGTAAGGGAGAGGAAATGTGTGTATGTGTGTGCGTATGCGCAAATCAGCTTTACCTTTGTGCAATACCTCCTTACTTGTTAAGCAGAGGTACCACTGACTTCTTATGTGATACTCTGTGAGACGTACAGATATTATCATTTTATATTTTATACTAATGCAAAACAATTCTACTCAAACATCACAGAAAGCAAAAATGATATTTTTCCAAACATAAATACCATTTCAAAACTCAATTATTGGCGCAAGTCCAGATCTGTAAGGGATGCTGAGGCTACAGCTACAAAAGTGCATTTTCACACATGAATAAGCTCCAGAAGTCAAATAAAAAAAGGTCGCGACCTTACGTTAACCTTCTTTGGTAAACTGTCATTTCTTATTTATATTTTTGTGCTCTCATCTGTCAAGGCAACTGAAGGAAGTTAGAGACAAATGAAGTTCTATGATTAGCTGTTGATTAAAAGAAGCTTTTATTTTAGTGATTAGAGTAATATTGCAATCACCGCAACCCCGTCCCTGGGGGTTTCAGTCAAACCTCGGAGCCCTGGCAGGTTTCCTGACCTTTGCCAGAGGGACTTTCAGAGCAGCTGCCTCCAGAGCCAGTGTGTGACTTTGCAAGGCCACCGCTGTTTACCCCAGTAATGTAATAGTCACCGGTGTCACTGGTTTAGCCTGATCCCAGGTCAGATGGGAGCTCTCCAAACGCGGCTGCCACAGAAGAGTTAATAGCTGGGCTAAAAGGAATACTGAAGGATTTGTCTAAGAGAAAGAAAGTGTTTATTAAAATGACCTCAGCATTTATTTAGTCTGCAAGGTTTGAGGTATCAGTCGTAACTTATTCTTGTCAAATTCTGTGTTTTTTGCCAGAGACACGCTAATTCTGCATTTGGACTGTTTTTCTTGCCAACAAATCAATGCACCAGGCTTCTGCTATGTCCTGTGAAAAAACTGAAGGACTTAATACCATGCAACTCTAGGGAAATGCCAAGGAAGTGTTTTGGTTTTGGTTTTTTTTTTTTAATGTATTTATTTTTTTAATAGAAGAAGATAAATTAGTCCATTGGAGGAATTCAGGATGCTTTTGCATTGTCTTATCTCAGAAAGTTGCATCTGACTCATAACACTCTGGCATACCATGACACTGGGTTAGTTATTTTCAGGAACGCTTCAATAGAAGGACAATAAGGAAAATAAATTATATTTTACAAAAAGAAAAATATACCAGCTTTGGTCACATGTGCAACAAGTACCACTCCGCATGAACTCAAATCTTAGAGCAATCGAGTGAAGGCACTCCTAGATGAGGTGAGGCCACCCAGCCTTACTCATCTTTCTGTGTTTCAAGACCTTGTCTTGAGATATGGAAATAAAACCAGTTGCAGGAATTGTATCACAATTATCTAATTATTTGGGCACAGTAATTCAGTTACACTTAATGTCCACCTCAGAGAATTAGGGAAATGGACGACTCCATCTTGTGACATTAACAGACCCTGGGTGAACAATCTCGATAACTAAGATATTTTAATGTATTGGTTTTATACAGTAATTCAAAAAGGAAGAGAAAAAGAATGGGCAAAAGAAAAAGAATTGTGAGA